CATCATCACCACCATCACCACCATCACCATCATCACCATCATCACCATCATCACCATCACCATCACCATCATCACCATCATCACCACCATCCCCATCATCACCACCACCATCGTCACCACCATCCCCATCATCACCATCACCATCATCACCATCACCATCATCACCACTATCACCATCATCACCATCACCATCATCACCACCATCACCACCATCACCACCACCATCATCACCACCATCCCCATCATCACCATCACCATCATCACCATCACCATCACCATCATCACCATCATCACCACTATCACCATCATCACCATCACCATCATTACCACCATCACCATCATCACCATCATTACCACCATCACCATCATCACCATCACCATCCTCCTCCTCCTCTAGTCTGGCACTATGCTAATTGCTTTATGTCTTTATCTTTAATCCTCACAGCAACCTTCTGAGGGAGGTGTTACTATTCTTCTTCTTTCTTTTCTTCTTAAAAAAAAAATTGGATAGAATTCATAAATCATAAAATTCACCCTTTTAAAATGCACGTTTCTGTGGTTTAGTATATTTCAGAGTTGTACAACCATCATCCTTATCTGATTCCAGAACATTTTATCACCCAAAAGAAACCCTGTACCTATTAGCAGCCACTGCTTATTCTTTCCTACCCCATAGACCCTGGTAACAACTAGTCTACTTTCTGTCTCTTTAGGTTGCTTATTCTGGATGTTTCCTATAAATGGAATCATACAGTATGTAAACCTTTGTGACTGGCATCTGTCACTTAGCATAATGTTTTCAAGGTTCATCTACGTTGTAGTGTGTATCAGTACGTCATTCCTTTTTATGGCTGAATAAAATTCCATTGTATGAATACACCATATTTTGTTTATCCACTCATTGATGGGTGTTTTTCTTTGTTATTATGAATGGTGCTGATAGGAACATTAATGTACAAGTTTTTGCATTGACATATACTTTCAATTTTCTTGGGTATATACCTAGGAGGGGATTTGCTGAATCATATGGTAATTCCATGTTTTTTCATGTGCTTATTGGCCATTTTTATATCTTCTTTGGAGAAATGTCTATTCAAATAATTTTCCAGTTTGTAATTGGGCTATTTATTTTTTATTGTTGAATCGTAATAGTTCTTTATATTTTCTGTATACTGGACCTTCATCAGGTATGTAATTTACAATTATTTTCTCCCATTCTGTGGAATGTTTTTTCATTTTCTTTATAGTATCCTTTGAGCATAACATTTTTTAATTTTGATGACATTATTTTATCTTTTCTTTCTTTTGTTGCTTCTGCTTCTAGTGTCATGTCTAAGAAACACTGTCTGATCCAAGATCACAAAGATATACTCCTATGTTTTTTCCTAAGTGTTTCATAGTTTTTAACACATATTTTGATCTCTGATACATTTTGATATATTTTTTAAGATCATGTGTATATAATTTTTGTATATGGTGTGACGTTGAGCTCCAATTTCATTCTTTTGTATAAGAATATTCAGTTGTCTTAGCCCTATCTTTGAGAAGAGATTTTCCCATTGAATTATCTTGGCAATTGGTGAAAGTCAACTGTCTATAAATGTCTGTATTTATTTCTGGATTCTGAATTCTATTTCATTAATCTATCTGTCTATCATTATGCCAGTATAAAGCAGTGTTGATTACTGTAGCTTCATCATAAGTTTTGAAATTGGGAAGTGTGAGTCCTCTGAATTTGTTCTTTTTTAAAGATTGTTTTAGCTATTCTGGATCCCTTGCATTTCTATATGAATTTTAAGATGAGCTTGGTCAATTTCTCAAAAAAGCAAGATTTTGATAGGGATTGTGTTGAATCTGTAGATCAATTTGAGGGGGTATTGTTATTTTAGTAATATTGTCTTCTAGTCCATGAACATGGGGTGTTTTTATTTATTTAAGTGTTCCTTAATTTTTTCAACTGTATTCTGTAGTTTTCAGTGTAAAATTTTTTCACTTTTTGGTTAAATTTATTTTAAAATATTTTTGATGCTATTGGAAATGGAATTGTTTTCTTAATTTGTTTTTTTGGGATTGTTCATAGCTAGTATATAGAAATACTATTGATTTAGTACATTGATCTTGTATTCTGTAACCTTGTTGAACTCATTTATTAGTTCTAGTACTCTTTTGATTTTGTGGATTCCTTAAGATTTTCTATATGCAAAATCATATAATGTACAAAAGGAGATAGTTTTACTTCTTTTCTAATATGGATGGCCTTTTATTTCGATTTTTTTGCCTAATATTCTTAGCTGGACCTCCAGTATAATGTTGAATAGACATGGTGAGAGCTGACACTCTTGTCAGACTCACCAAAACCTTTTAGCTTGGTCACCGAGCCATACTGTGTCATAACTTATATATATAAGTTATATATATGGGGTTGCTACATACTTATATATTATATATAATAATATAATTATGTATATGTATGTCTTATGGATTTGTATTATTGACTCCAAAGAGCTCTACCAGCTTGGACAGCAATGTTTTTCTGGGAAAATAAGCTTGCATTTCTTACTAATAGTGAGCAAGAATTTCCTCTAGCTCCAAGCTGCTGATGATAAGACTCATAATGGAAGGCAAGGACTGGGGAGTGTTTGTTTGTTTGTTTGTCTGTTTTATTATGCACATATCATGTATATATACAGTCAGGCATAGTTTTGTTACTTGGTTGCATTGTATTACTAGTTTATATATTAATATATAAAATTTATATATTCACAAAATCATCTATTTCTCAGTTAAAACCCTTTCCCCTCTCTTCCTGTTCTTCCCCCATGGAGTCAACTCTGAAACATGCAAGAGAAACTGTAAGGAATTGTACTCAAGAAAACACGTGAGAAACCTATGATAGCTTTTTATATGTATAGTGACCATATACTTTGTAATTAATGAGCACAGTTTTGAGAGTGAAAGGGGAAATCAGTAATAATTAAGAGGCAGCAGACGAAAACTAAGACTGGCTGAGGAAAACTGAGACATAAGCTCACGCTACAGTAAGTCCCCTACATACAAATGAGTTCTGTTCCGAGACCGCGTTCGTAAGTTCAATTTGTTCGTGAGTCCAACAAAGTTATCCTAGGTACCCAACTAACACAATCGGCTATATAGTACTGTACTGTAATGGGTTTATAATACTTTTCACACAAATAATACATAAAAAACAAACACAAAAAATAAAGAAAATATTTTTAATCTTACAATACAGTACCTTGAAAAGTACAGTAGTACAGTGCAACAGCTGGCATCCAGGGGCTGGCATCGCGTGAACAGGCAAGAAGAGTTACTGACTGGAGGAGGGAGAGGTGGTGGGAGATGGTAGTGCTGAAGGATCCTCAGCAATAGGAGATGGAGGGCAAGCTGCAGTGTCACTCACGCCTGACGTGGATGGCACAGGTTCTGGTTCCTTGCGGGATTCAATTCTATCTACCCTCTTGAAAAAACGATCCAGTGATGTCTGGGTGGTAGCTCTTTTTTTCTCAGCATAGATGACAGGGTAGCACTGGATTGCATTCTGAATGGCTGCTGCAAACTTCGTGTACCGTTCTACATTCAGGTCCTGTACCTCAAAAACTAACAGTGCCTCCTCAAATAAAGAAAATCCCCTTGCTTTTTCCTGTGTCATGAACCTCTTCAGTTCTTCAGTTACCTCTTCCTCTTGTCTCTCTTCGTCCTTCCTCTGGGCCTCCAATTCCATCATTGCTTGGCGCTTCTTAACAGCACCAGCTACATCACTGCTGCTTTTACACTTGCTTCCAGACATCCTGGGCTTGAAATAAAGATACTTACTGTACTACTGTATTCTATACAGTACTGTACAGTAAAGCACACAAAAGCACAACCACTTGTAGAGGATGCACGCATGTGACAACGTATGCCAGACACATGAACTAATTTACATGATTGGACACGTGAAGGCACGTTCGTCTCTTTGGAAGCTCTCAACTTGAAGGTTCATATGTAGGGACTTACTGTACTTAGAAGAGAAGATAATAAAACATGTTTTTTAATATCTACTTTATACTTTGATTTGAACACCAAATGTCATCAATAGATAGCACGTGTCTTATTATACCGACCCCTGTTGTCTGATGAAACGTGAGTCTAGAATCACATTCTAGCTTATGTCCTTCTAAAGAAGCGTTTCCAGGAGTGGTTCAATGTGCTCTTTCGCAAAACAGCATTAGCCATGAGTATGTTCTTCGGGTAATGTGATGCACTGACTTGGCATCTCAGTCAGTGATAGGAGGCACTTTTCTCTTTTTTGAGGAAATGTCCTGTCTCGACCTGAGGCTCACGTAGTGCACAGGCCTCTGCTAAAGCAGATTGTTTTTCTGGACCAGATCACAAGCCAGGATTTTAAACTTGTGAAAATGCATAATAATTTGTCCTCCTGCATGTCTGGAGTCTGAATTGATGGTTCTCATTTGACCACCAGCACAGATCACAGGCGGTACCCAACTCACCAGTGTGAGGAATTCCTAACATTCATCAGAAAGTTGGATGTTTGGCACTAGGGTTGATTTTCCTCACAAAAACAGCGACAATTAGGTTCCCAGGTTTGTCAACAGAGCCTTGAACACCCCAAGTGTGCTGTATCATTGACCCCATATTGTCCTCACAGTGCTCTGCCGGCCCTGTTTGGACCACAAAGTTTTCTGTGAAAATGTGAGCGAGGATTTCCTCTAGTTCCAAGTTGCTGATGGCAAGGCTCGTGGTTTGGGGCTGGGGTTTGGGGAAGGCAGGACAGTGGGGTCTAGGGTGCTGTATTAGTTTCCTATTGCTGCTGTAGGAAATTACCACAAATTTAGTGGCCTAAAGGCACACAAATTTACTGTCTTACAGTTCTGGAGATCAGAAGTCCTTCGTGGGTCTCAATGGGCTAAAATCAAGGTGCCTGCAGGGCTGCATTCCTTCTGGAGGCTCTAGGGAAGAATCTGTTTCCTTGCCTTTTCCAGCTTCTAGAGGCTGCCCACGTTCCTTGTCTCATGGCTCTCCTTCTCCATCTTCAAATCCTGCGGCGGTAAGTCCGTCTCATGCTGCCATCTCGCTGAGTCTCTCTTCTCCCTCCCTCTTCCACTTCCAAAGACCAAAGTGAGTACATTGGGCCTACCTGGATAATCCAGATTCATCTCCCCATGTCAACGTCAGTTGAGTAGCAACCTCAGTTCCATCTGCAAACTTCATTCCCCTTTGCCATATAAAGTAACATATTCACAGGTTCCAGGGATTCGGTCACAGACATCTTTGAGGGGCCGTTATTCTGCCACAGGTAACCAGGAGTAAGGGGGTCCATCCGAGTGTCACATTCAGTTAATTGCTAAGTTTTATTGATAGTATTTTGGAACTCCCAACAGAAACACCCTTATCTTTTACATCTCCCTTGCTGTTTTCCTTACTGCCTCTCACATGTAATGCTTTTCTAATACATTAATAGCTACAGAAGTCCAGCTTTTAGAAAGAGTAAAAATGATTGAGCCACTGAAGTGACCTGGGCAGGCCTCATGGAGGGGGCTGGCCTTAGGGAAGATGATGAATGTACAGGACAGGTTTCCAGAAGGGATATCTTGGGACAAATGTAAAGATTTCAAGTTATTAGGAATGGCTAGGGATAGGTGGTGAGAAGAAAGGGTCGTGTTGGGGAAGCCACATCAAGGAAGGGGATGATTCGAGAGGCTCCTGAGTTCCAGCCTGACTATGGGTTTGTGTAAACATACAGATTGGCCTTCTGCAAGAGCGTAAGATTGGGCCACGTCCTGGCCAGCCTGATCCTGCCGGTGAGGAGGAACTGTGAGGCCCTGATACTGCTCTGCTCTGCCCCTCAGACGTGGGATGGAAATGAATCGTGAATCTTCAGTTTCACCAAGAGCCTGCTTTGTAAACCAGTTTGAGGCCCACGCTCTTTGCAGCATCCCATTCAAAGAAATTCAGGTCCAGCATCTAATAATACTTGAAAAGCAGTTTAAATCTTGACTTCAGTCTTGAGAAAATGCCAAAGAAGGCACCAAATTTTCAAAGCCCCGTTGCCTTTCCTTACATCTCTTTGACTCCCATACAAAGATCGGCCTCCCCGCTCCTGCTTCCACTCTAATGACTCAGGTCACAGGGACTTCTTTGCTTCCTTGTCTGTTTCACTCTCTTTCCTGTTTCTGTTCAATTTGGTGAAAGTCCAGCTAGGCTCTTGCTTCACGATCCAGGAAAGCAAAGGCAGGTTCTCCTCTGTGGGTGGCAGGGGGATGGGCTCTTGACACTCATACTCGTTTTTCCTGTCGCATTTAGTTCTTTCAGCCAAGGTAGAGAGCAGGGAGGCGAGGGCTGGCGGGAACGCAAGGCCATGGGCAGGGCGGTCCCCAGGCGGCTGTGGCCTTCTCCCTGCTAATGGAATCGGTGTCGTGAAGCAGCGAGGGCTCCACAAGAGCGGAACCGAAGCCGGCACCCGCGGGGCTGCAGGAAGAGGCAGAATCTTGCTGGGGTTTCATTTAAATGGATGCATTTTACAAATATTGGATTTTAGCTCACTCAAGAAACAATTAAACTCCAAATCGGGTTGTACATATTAAATCATAGCAGTGGGGAGGCAAATGCAGAGGTGCTTAGCAGATTTAAGAATTAATAGAACAGAAATTGGTACCGTGAAATTAGCGCCTCGTCCATCTAATCGAATGGTGCATTTACCCACAGTGCCAAAATAGATACAGTTAGGCATAGCACTTATCTTTCCTGTGGCACCTGATGGCTGGAGGTCTTAAAGAACTTTTCAAATTACCCTTCTAAAGTAATTAAATCTCTGCCTGGAGGTAGGGGGAAGAAGAAGAAGCCATCCGTAAAATAAAATGCAAAGACTCTCGCTTTTCCTGTCGCTTTGTAATGCTGGCAGGCTGGTTTCTTTCTCTGTCCACACGTGCATTTTCGTGGAGCTGCCAGGTGACCACCAGCATTGGGTTGGTCTTCCTTGGGGCCACTGTATGGAATCTTGCCCGCCAGTTCTTCTAGAAGTGACTGCCTCTTCTGATCTATTGAAATCCTTCATACGTGGAAGTAAATGCTAAGTACCTTGTATTATTAATAGACTGAGCTCCACAATCAGGTTCTTGTCTTTTGGGGAGTACGGGCCATGTCTTTCTTTTCTTTTTTTTTTTTTTTTTGCGGTACGCGGGCCTCTTACTGCCGTGGCCTCTCCCGTTGCAGAGCACAGGCTCCAGACGCACAGGCTCAGTGGCCATGGCTCACGGGCCCAGCCGCTCCGCGGCTTGTGGGATCTTCCCAGACCGGGGCACGAACCCGTGTCCCCTGCACCGGCAGGCGGACTCTCAACCACTGCGCCACCAGGGAAGCCCCCATGTCTTTCTCATATGTGTTTTGCTTTGTTTTTCCTGCAGCTCCCAGCATGGTGTTTCATACATAGCTGGTGCCAGGAGGAATATTAAAAATATTTAATAACTGACTAGGGCACCAACTGATCAGAACAGATGTTGAGGGCTAACACCCAGTACAGCGATGCCACCATGAACCCACTAAATGTCAGCCCTGTGGGGTACAGAATTGTTCATTGGCTTATAAAATGGACCCAGGCTGTGACCGGTTCCTTCTTCTGGAGCAGAGGGTATTGCCAATATGACTAATATAATTGGAAAGTTATAGCATCTTTATTTTACAAGTGGACAGACATTTTAAACTAACTTCCTGAATGATACTGCGGCTTGCAAACTGCATTTAAGTTTTGCATGTAACGACAATATGATGACACTGATAGTGACAATGCCACACATTTTTATGATTCTTTATAAATTCTTATAAGAATGTTCCCATCTGTGATCTCATTTTATTTTCTTAGCAACTCTGAGATAAATATGACAGATATTAATATTCTCAAATTATAAAGAAATGGAACATCAAAAAGATTATGCTTTGGATATTGCATCATGTAAATATTCACACACATGCCCCTCTGCACACATATGTACATGAACAGACTTACACGTAAAAGGATGATGCCTAGGCTTGGGAAGCAGATGGTTCAAAGAGATGAAAAGTCCTGGTATTGTTTAAGAATATGTACAGTGCAACGCATTGAAAGTTTGGAGGGTGGACAGAAACATTAGGATTCATCTCAGGTGGATGAAGCTTCTCACCAGAAGTGTGTTTAGAACAGGAGTTTTGAGAAACTCAAAGAGTGAAGCAACTTCAGGAGTTTGGGGTATATATTTATACTTAAATAACTGGTTAAAATTTCTCAGTCTAGTACAGGTTACCGTATCCTGGGATCCAACGATAAACTTTCAAAAGGGTCTTTGAATACTCTGAAATTATATACGGCACTTTGTATGTATAGATGTGAACTTATCTGGGGAGTGAATCCATGGATTTCACTGAGTTTTCAAAGACTCTGTCATTCAAAATAGTTTAATAATCTCTGCTTCAGGGAGTCTCAGTTATTTACCTTAAATGATAAATAGAGTAGCATAAATTAGGGTTTAGGATTAACACAAATAATTTGCAGACTTATAATGAGGTATGAGTTTAAGTGGTTCGTTAACCTATACACTCTCATGGCAAGAATATACTTATTATCTTTTATTCTAAGTCTTCTTTTCTAGGTTGCTTTGCTGTTTCTACTATTTCCTGCTTCCTCAATCTCCTTTTCTGGAAGCCTTAATTTTACAATTTTCTGCACCTCTAGGCAATTTCCCTCTTACTATTTAGGGTATAAAAGAACTTGAATGACCCCAGGCTCTAGAGAAGGACTGTAAGTTTCTACCACAAGCACCCTCCTGAGTAAATGCCATCACTCAGACCCTCGGATTCTCACCTAGACTTTTCTGTCCATATTATGCCCAAGAGCTGAATGGTTTGCACATTCTTTCTCTATTACCCAACCTATTAATTTTCTGATCAAGAGTAACTGCTACCACATGATTACCTTGTTGGTGACAGTAACATATTGACTCGATTAGCTTTCAAGGGGGAATTAAAAGAGGTTAATGGCCCACATTTGTTTATATCCTGTTAATAGGTGAGGCTATGGGGGATTGTGGAAAAGACTGGAAATTAGGGCCTCTGGGTTTCATCCCAGCTCTACCACTGCATGCCCTCTGCCTAACACGTAACCTCTTCTCATCTCTGAAATGGCCTCAGTTGTGAGAGGTCCTTTCTGACATACCATTATACGATTCTTTAATAGGCCACCTGAGCAGATAGAGAATCATTTTGGAGAGATCTCCAACTCTCAGAGATATTTTGGAGTTTCCAAAATGCTTGCCTCCTCTCTCGCTTAATCAGTGGTTTGTGAGAAATCACTGTGGTTATTGAAGCACAGGGCACCGTTTTTACAGCTTCCATTAAGGAGTGAAGCCAGGCTGCGGCTGCGCTGGCTCAATAAATCATTTGTACTGGGAATGTATTTGTCAGTTTTTCCGCAGATTGTGTGATTATGGCCTCGTTTTATTTCCAATGCTCATAAGTGGGGATGAGAGCTGACATTTGGTAATTGAAACAGTGTTCTACCTTTCATAGCACAGTTAGCAGGAATTGTTAAGAGTTTTATTTCTCTCCAAAGGGTTTTCTCTTGCTGGCTGCCTCCAAGTTCCCAGGGTTTCACACATTCTGCACCGGGCGGGCTCGCCAGGACATCGAAGACCACTACCAACAGCTGCTACAAGTTTAAAATCTTTAGAAGAAGGAACAGATTGCAGTTTGCTCCTGAGGGTTTGTTGAGTTTACATTTCTGAAATGTTAAGAGACACACAGTATAAGAATTTTGAACATTTTGCCTTGTGCCTTTATTTATTTATTTTTATTGAAGTATAGTTGATTTACAATGTTGTGTTAATATCTGCTGTACAGCAAAGTGATTCAGTTATACATCTATATACATTTTTTTCATATTCTTAAGAATTTTGAACATTATTAATGAGTAGAGTTCTTCCTTCTTCAGGTCTGAAGGGAAAGGGTTCTCTTCTTTCCATGATCCTTCTTGCTCGCCGACTCCCACCAGCTCAAGACCAGCATCGCTGAGCCCTCACTCTGTGCCAGACCCTGTCAGTATTCATCACAATGACCCTAAGGGGTCCTCAGCATAATAGTCTGCATTTTATCGGAGTGTGAGCTGATTGGCTCCAAATCAGGAGTCTGCCTTCCCCACTGGCACCCCATTGCTTCACACGTTCACATCACTTTTAGAGGGATTTCTTTTCTCATTATTGTTAATGCTGTTCTACCTATAATGGCGTTAGAGTCGACAGCTTTGCCCTACGCCACCTTCTCTCACCCTAATCACATATATCCACACCCACACAGGGACACACGCACAATCCCTCACACACAGACATCAGCACAGACACGTGCACATAAACTATCAGAGGCTCTATCGCACGCATATGCACGCACGTGCACACGCACACACTCACACTCACACACGTTGAAAGTAAAACCCCCAGAGTTTCCATGGTGCAGTTTCCCAAGACTCCTGTTCTCCCTCACCCGGGACTCTGACTCTCTGCTGCTCTAAGTTGCCCCCCTCTGATCCCTGCTTCTCCCTTCCTGAGCAGTGTAGCCAGCTTCCTGCATCTTCTACCTCCTGCTAAGGATAGAGGTGTGGGGCTGAGAGGTTAAGGCAAAAGGCTCTGTCTGCATGCCTGTGGGAGTTTTTAGGCAGATAGATGGTTGGGATCAGGGGCGAGGTTGGCTTCAGTACCTGGTAGTGGGGTCATGTGCTACCGCTGCTGGGCTGACATGGGGACATAAAATCTTCCCCCTCGACACTGTAGGAATGGGGCTGCCCCAGGAACCTGGCGGGGCGGTGCAAGTCTGGGGAAGTATGGAAAGGGACCCATGGCTAGTTTATATATATATATATATATTTTTTTTTTTAGTGGTACGCGGGCCTCTCACTGCTGTGGCCTCTCCCGTTGCGGAGCACAGGCTCCGGATGCTCAGGCTCAGCAGCCATGGCTCACGGGCCCAGCCGCTCCGCGGCGTGTGGGATCTTCCTGGACCGGGGCATGAACCCGTGTCCCCTGCATCGGCAGGCAGACTCTCAACCACTGCGCCACCAGGGAAGTCCCTATATATTTTTTTTATTAATTTTTATTGGAGTAGAGTTGCTTTACAATATTGTGTTTCTACTGTGCAGCAAAGTGAATCAGCTATATGTATATATATATCCCCTCATTTTGGATTTCCTTCCCGCTTAGGTCACCACAGAGCACTGAGCAGAGTTCCCTGTGCTATACGGTAGGTTCTCATGAGGCATCTATTTTATACATGGTATCAATGGTGTATATGCGTCCATCGCACTCTTGCTTGCCTCGCCCGTACCGCCTCTCCCGAGGTGCCCCGTAGTGACCCAGCAATAATAACACAAGATTCATAATAGTGTGGTTTTAGAGGCAAACAACTTCTCCCTTTGGACGGCTGATGTCAGAAATTCCCTTGGAGATGAACAAAGTCGTATGCCTTCTCCCAAGTTTAAAGATAAGGGGGAGCATGTGGGTGTCCTCAGAGAGCTGACCTAGTGGCTTTCACACACACCAAGATCGCTGTGGTGTGAGCTCAGAGCCACGGGCTGGGGCTGGGACAGTGGGCTCCCTCTGGTGGCCTCAGACAAGCCGCCACCTCTCTCTGTGTCTTATTTTTCCCATCTGCCAAAAGATGAAAGGGTTGGCTTAGAAAATCTCCAAAGCCCTTTCATGGCTAACTTCCAGATATGTGTATTATGATAAGTTGACCATGAAGCACTTTCATATTTTAATGGGGGTGGGGTAAAATGAGGACACAAGGGAACCAGCACCTGAAAGGGACCCAAGTGAAGTAGGGACATAGGCCCTAAGGTCAGGCCTCCTCACTTCAAACTGGTAAATCAAAGCTTTGGCCACAGGTATGTGAGGTTGTTTAGCTGGGCATGTTCTGATCTCCACGAGGAGACGGCTTCCAAAGTTTGATGAGGATGGAGGATCTGCAAAGGTAAGAAGGGGACAAGGAAATAGCCTGTTTCACAATCTCATCAAGGGTCTCCTGGTTGCATTAGATTAGGCACTGTAAGAATTACAGGCAGGCACAACTCCTGCCTAGTGGAGTCTCACAAGCTGTGTGACCCTGGGAAAGCTGCTTAACCTCTCTGAACTTCAGATGATTCCCCTCTAAGGTAGGGATAACAATTCCTACCTGGGAGGCTTCGTGAGCTAGGGTTTGCAGAAACGCCAGCTAGAGAGCAGGGTATATACGGCAGGCTGTTCGTGAATGGTCTCACAGAGATGCATCCATGGCTCAGACACTTGACCTGGGATTGTAGCAAGTTCCATAGAGCAGAGAATAACATGAATAAATAACATTTAGCTCTTTGGTGTTTGGAAAGCATTTTGCTTTTAAATATTCCTGCCTGCAGGAGGTTTTCTAAAGGTCAGCTCCATACAGCTTATTAAGGAAGATGATTAAATCAGTTGGCAGTTTGAGAAGAAAAAGCAGATGGCTTTCAACAGCATCCTCCCCCCACGATTGACATTTTCTTTTACAAATCAAGGTGAGAGTGTGGATTTGCTCTCGTGGTTCTCCGAAGGAGACCGTGGTGGTGCTGGGATGCGGCTCCGGTGCCTTCTGCCTTGTTTACGCCCAGCTGTTATTCTTGTTCCTGTCACTGCCAGTTACTGAAGAATCCATTATGCCCGAGACTCACAAGGGGGCTTCTTTTCTGCTTCCTGAGGAGGAGTGGCAGGGGCAGTGGAGGTGAACAAATTGGATTGATTACCTTCTGAAGACAGGGTTCGAGCTTCTGTCCTAATCATGCTGGCAGGACCGCCAGGCTGTCTGATTCACTCAGACAAAAGCCCTGAGAAAACAGGGAGGGTTAGGAGCCCATATGCTCACCTGGTGGTCTAGCGGCCACTCTGGATTGAGCAGGACTTCAGAAATAAGGAGAACATCTTTACTGCTAATAACCTCCCACAACTGTCATAACCAAGGCTCTGAATGCAAGAGACATGCCAAGATCTAATTCCACGTACTTATGTGTGTGGCTTTCTGATATCGACTGAGCTATTAATTGCTGCGTGTGTTCCTTTTTGTACTCCCCTTCCTGCAGGTAACTGGCTCAGCACATCATTGATTCGGGAGAGCTACGTGGTGGGGTAGAAGGTAGAAGTGGCCTGTTAGTCCCTCTGTCTCTGGTTTTTCAAAAGCTGAATTGCTCAGGAGAACAAATAGGGTTTGCTGAGGAGGTAGAAAGAAAGGAGAAGTGATTTTAGAGAATTGTTAGAGAAGCAGGAGAGATCAAAAGACTCTCTCCACTGACCCCCACCCCACCCTGCCCTCTACTAGCCTGGGAGATGAGGGAGAGAGATATCGGAAGCACTTACTCATCAATCCTATTTTGTTCTATGTATTCATGTATTTATCACTCCTGGGTGCCCACTTCTGGGTGTACACTTCCTTCTCTCCTTACTAGGACCAAAGCCTTTGGCTCATCTCATGAGCTCAGGTATTGCCTGTTTCCTCTGCTTCTGGAAGACTGGTTTTATGAAATATCTGGAATTTCTCATATCACAAAGAAAAAGTACAGATTTTCCAGAATGACCAGGGGGTCTGTACACATAGCACTGAGCATCATTGGTGAGATTAGAACTGAAGACACTCTTTTAAGATAAGATGTTACTATAAGGCGGAATGCATAACAAAAGTGTACAACGTTTCCTAGGAACTGCAGCATTTCAATTTTATGATACTTTTATTGAATATTCAATAAAAGAATATGACACCCTTTCAAATCGTGTTCTTGTAACCTCCTGCTCTGAAGCTAAATGAAGACAGATCTGTGCTATCAGCACAAGTGGCATTCAACCGATTCTAAAACTTATATTTTTCCTGTATTGAGCATATTTTAAATGCACAGCATTAAAATCCTTGGTTCCTAATAGCTCAGTCCTTTCACTTGCATATCACCTCGCATTCAACAGTTCAGCATTTTTGTCTGAGAACATTTTTGGACGCTAGTTGGTGCTATTGTTGGCTAGTAATAGTACTGTTTCCTTCATTCATTCCACAAAAATTTATTGAGTGCCTACTCATTGCCAGGCATTGCGTTAGGCTCTAGAGAGGACTAGGACATACTGTCTTCGTTGTCAATGTGTTTGCAGTCGACCAGGCAGGGTGAACTCAGCTGACTCTATCTTAATGATCCTCTAAGCTCTGTAGCAGTGTGAGGCAGAGGGTGATACGATGGGCACCCAATCCTGGCTGCAGGGGGCCGAGGAGAGGCAGGGCAGGGAGGGCTTCCACAAGCAGAGGAGTAAGGGTTACCCAGGGGAAGGGGAAACGGGGAAAGAGGCAGCAGCATGTCCAAGGGTAGGCATCCATCAACTGGACATGCCTATTTGACTCAGGGACAATTTCAGATTTCAAAACACAAACCAGTAACTTCCAGCTGAGTAATATATGTAATAGACGACCCTATCCTGGTACTCGCCTCACCCACATTTATAGTCCAGACTCTATCAGTTAGATCATGCTCCTTTACATGGAGGAGTGAAATTACTTTCCAAAAAATTGCAAATGTATGTGCAAAAATGCAACGTTTAACATTTTTGCATAGTGATGACTTTGTCCCGTCTTCCTGGAAAATTGCAGTACTTGCCCCCAGACCAGTGCCTCCAGGGGAATCCAGCTTTCAGAGTCTATACCTTCTTCTGCCCCTTCCACTGGGTGCCTTGTCAGGCTGCTGGACCTGGAAGTTATCCTCCCTCTTGCCTCTGGTCCTCCACAAGCCTGAAGTAAGTCTTTGATTTCATGAAAGGAGAGATCTTTCTCGGACTGTCCAGTTCTCCAAAGCAGGAACATGTCAATGGAGTCTTTTAAAAGCAATAGAGGTGGCAGTAGGACCCAACAAGTTCACTGGACTTGGCCGTTAGGAGGCCATTGATGACCTTGGCTTGAGCAGAGAAGCCAGATTGGGGTGGGTTGAGGAATGAATGAGAGCTGTGCAAATGGAAATCATGAGTGGGGTCTTCTCAGTTAGGACTTGGCTTGACAAAGGCGAGTGGAAAGGGACTAGACGGTGGGTGCAGGGACAAGTTGAGATACAGAGAAAACAGGTCTAGACATTTCCCATGCTACCTATTGCCACTTTTCATGCTCTTAAACCTGAAAGTCACTTAAAAAAGGTACTCGTACGTTTCACTTTTCCCCCAAATAACCATTGTTTCCTAAACAGAAAAACTTTAACATCCTCTGCCTATCACTGACATCCAGAAAGAAAATGCAGTTCATTTTTTCCCTTTCAAATCATTAAGAACAAATCAATCACTTCGGGAAAATTCTTGTCATTGTCAGTGTGCCGAAACAGGCTGTGGTTCTGCACATGGGCACCGCGTTAATAAATGCATTTATTCTCTTTGCTCGCACAGAGACCCTGGGTTGCTTGTTTCCGTAAAGGCTGCCTGTCATCTCTTATGGGACCTTCACGTGTCAGTGATACCGGTTACCTCACGTCACAGCCCATCAGTCGGCTTATCTCCAGAAGAATGTGAAATTGCCTAACAAGCCTGCAAATGTGAAGGGCTCCACGGTGGCTTAATCACACATGATGTTCCCCTGTCTCATCAGTCCCCATACTGAGGCTGCACCTCTCATTTCTTAGACAGATACATTTCCTAGAGCTGTGGCTGGGCTATCCCAGTTGTGTGGGGTTTTAACTCCCATTTCCCAATTCCGGGATGAATTTCATTCTGGAAGCCCTCCCGTGCCCTTCTCCCCACCTTAGAATCTTTCAATCATCTCCTTCCCTAAAACTGATCTGGGCAATCTGGCAACATGGCAAAATTATTTTAGCCCAGGCTTTTAACTGTGTTTGGAGTGAGTGATAGCCTTGGAAACTTACTTGGGGGTAATGCACACATCCAAGTATATATGTCCAGCAACGTTTGCCACTTCGGGAGGGTGTGTACTCCCTTGATGCTCACCCTCTTTGCAGAATTCTCCTGCCAGGGTCTTCTGTAATCCACTAGCTGTCAGCAGGGATGGTTGTGATCAAAACTGCCCCCTCCAAAAACGGTGCACATTCTGTGAAGTGAAAGACATCATGGTGGATGCAAAGATGAATAAAGCGATGGTCCAGCCCTCAACAAGGCAGAGGACCATACATTGTATCAAAGGTACATATATTATATAAAGGACTAGGAAGCTGGGGACACAGTGTCATGAAGGAGCCAATAGTATGATTATTTCTTAGTGTGATTATTTCTTAAAAGAAGGAGACAAACATGCCCAGGATAAGTCAGTGCTTTGTTCTGTGGTCCTGAGGTTTTGGGGGCAGCTGCTTCTTCATAGAATTTGTATTAACAACATTTAGAAATTTTCTGTATTCCTGATGCTGTGGCATTTGTGGCCTCGCTGGCTGGGGAAAAATTGCTGTTCCAAGGGGGCTAGTGAGTTCTTAGAGACAGCAAAAGGCTCACCCCCAGGAGCATCCCTTTCATTTGCAAACTAACAAATCCAGAACCTTTCCTCTGAACTACCTCCTCTCTCTGGCTCAGACACTCTAGGAGGCAGGATTCCTCCACCCTAATCAGCCAGAACTGGGTACTAGACAACTAGAGACCACCTCTATACCCAGAGCCCACTGATTATTCAGACGAACCAGTCCTAAACTGGTTCCTGCGGAAAACACAATAAATGCTCTGGGCCATGATTTCCATTCACCCTTTTGGGCTCCTGATCAAACCTGGTTTTTTCCCATGTGACTCTGCATGGAGTAACATGCCCCATCCTCTCCGGAAGTGTAGTACTGAAACAAAATGTCTACACTGAACTCCTTTCAATGGCATTAGCCTCTCTGTGTTGTCACTCAGTCACCTCTATAAATTAACATCCTGCAGGTGCATTTTGAGATAGAAGTGGGCTCTGAGATGGAGGGTAACCCCGTAAGAGGAAAAGATCTTAGGTCTTGGGCCATCTGCTTCCTAGGGCTTATGGGGTGTGGGAGTGAGCCTTTCCCCTTGTCATTAAATTCTTTACAAAAACATGATTTATAGCAGTGGCATAGTATTATACCTACATTTACATAATAATTTACTTAATTAACCTCCTGATTTATGTAAAAGAATGTTGTTTTTATTTTTCTGCTCATAAATATTTCTGTGATAAGCATACTTTTAGATAAAGTGTGAACGTTCTTGTTTCTTTCCTTTAAGAAATTTTAAAGGTAAAATGACTGAACCCAAAGAGACATTTTTGCTGAGATGGGATGAGCTGAAAAGAGATGTGTTCCCTGAAAATTTCTGAAGGTGTGTTTGTTTCTGTTTCTTATTTTAAAATAAGACTTAAAATCATGGTTTTCGGGCTTCCCTGGTGGCGCAGTGGCTGAGAGTCCGCCTGCTGATGCAGGGGACACGGGTTCTTGCCCCGGTCCAGGAGGATCCCACATGCCGCAGAGCGGCTGGGCCTGTGAGCCATGGCCGCTGAGCCTGCGCGTCCGGAGCCTGTGCTCCGCAACGGGAGAGGCCACAGCAGTGAGAGGCCCGTGTACCGAAAAAAAAAAAAATCATGGTTTTCTAGGTAAGATAAACAATTTCCATACTTCTCAACCCTCAACTCTCTCTGCCCATATACCGGGCTAATTGCCAGTGGGCAGTTTTAAAACTCACACATGTTTTCATCTTTATAGTTAACTCAATTTATATAATACATGGCCACTTCCCACATGTTAATAAACACAGACAGTAAAATTGTTAGACAGTGATTTCATCATTGTCTCCACAGTTCTTTTAAGTGCTTCAACATGCCTGTCACTGCTCTTTGCTGTAGCTGAGTAAGAGACCATCCCAGACCTCACAGACTGGGCTATTCGGTGCAGACATTGTTGAGTGAGCAGAGAAAAGATGACAACAGTGGTCAGAACCCTGGACACGTGCAGACTCAAATGAAATGTGACTCTAAGTTGACAGTTGATGTTTTTTTAGAAGTGGAGTCATTAGGACTTCTACATCCACGTGACTATGTCCTCGGGAACAAAGGCACCTTAGAGGCTCTGTACCTAGAAGAGTGACACTGCTGTTTCCTTTTGGGAGTGTCCTTGTCGTGTGCAACACCTACGGCCACATTTTCTTGATACTCCTCAGTGGCAGCGAGTCTTTATTCTTTGCGAGTGGATTTGCTTATTGACGAATTTCACTTGTCACACGGACCCCAGTCTGAAGTTGTTCTGGGTCAAAAGGAACCAGGACTTCTTTAAGGCAAAGTCATCACTTTTTTCCTGTAGCTCATAAACTGGTTCTGAAGACAGGTCTCAAAGACAAGATTTCCAAAATATTTTGGGCAATAGCAGAATCTCCAGCCTGGACCTTTGGACTCCCAAAAGGATACTCAGATATAACATGTTTGGACACACACACGCACATGCACATACAATGATATTGGCCAAGGGGTCAAGGGAATGGACTGGGTGTCTGCTAAGGACCTTTCTAACTCTAGAGGTCTTTGCTTCTATTATCAACTTGATTAGTCAGGGAAAGCCTGGGAAGTGTCAAAGCCATCTTTATACCATCTACCATTCATATTTGCCTCTGTAATCAGAGCAAGAGGCCATCTCCCCTGTGATATGTAGCCCAAATGGAAAAGGCCAGTGGGACTCATTTCTGGATATTAGTCAAAACTGGGTGTGCTTAACAAAAGCAATGAATGTTATTTTCAGTTTCAGATCATTGTCTAAGTGAAATGGCTAAAATTAACTTCCTTAAGTATCACGGGAACCCAAGCATCCTCCAGAGGAAGAGGCTGTGAGGGGAATGGTGTGTACTCCACATCTGAGACCCCTGGTCTTGGCTTGACCAAAGCTCTTAGGGAGGCCCTGTGAAAATTTGCTGACTAGTCAGACCAGCAGCTGCTCATTGTACTGTTGTCTAAAAGAGTCAGTTTCATCCTTAAGGCACTGCTGGGGAGTCAGTCCCAGTCTTGCCTATCTCTTGGGGGTTATCACAAGTGTTAAAGAGGTAGTGCAGATAAAAAACCTTTTAAAATGTTTTACATTTATATTCCCATTACTAGGCTATGAGTTATCTAATAATATCAAAGGCATTATATAGTCTGGGAAGTGGATTACTAGAATGTTATAAGTCCATCTTAGAATCAAGAAAATGTGCTAATAACTTATGGAAGTCACACCAAAGGTGGTTTAAGAGATGGATGTTAGTGGCTTGGTGGCAGGTGTTATAGAGAAAACTCTGCTCAGAGACTTGAAACCCATCGCCCATGCCTTCCCTTTCTCCTGACTGCTCATTCCCATACTGGCTCTGGATTTAAGGTTGAAGCTGGGGGATAGGGTGAGGGGCACGTTCCCCCCAGGAGTCTCCAGCTGTGCTCCTGGGGCCCCTGGGCCAGTACTGTGACCTCTCTGTTTGTACACCTCCATGGTTTAGTCTAGGACAGATTGAATTGGAAGAAATGTATGGTTCAGGGAAGAGCATAATGAAAGTGGGAACTCCTTATTCATAACGCAAATACACATTGAGCCCTTATTATAAAGCATAGCGCTAAAAGCTGGTACTGCAGAGAGGAGCATTAAGTGGGCAAGAAAATCAATGTAGAGAGAAATGAAGCTGCATTTCTCCAAAACATCCTTCAGATGTTACAGAAAAAGCGGAAGGAAATTTTTGGCCAACCCAATAGAATGAAGGGAGGGAGGACACAGTTTGGGCAATGGAAGTGGATATGAGATATTCTCTCAAAACTATCCATCCCCTCCCACTGCTACCCTCTACTGTAAGCTACCATTATCTACTGCCTGGGCTATTAGGCTCTTAGCTGAACCACTAACAGACACTCTGGTCCCCTTCTAATCTGTTCTTCTACTTGCACCCATCTCTAAAAACTCAAGGCTGTTCATGACACTTCTCTGCCTGTTACCCTTCATGGCTTCCCACTGCTCCTAAGATGAAGACTAAACTCTTAAGTGGACCAGCAAAGCCTACATGGTCTGGTTCCTACTCTCTCTTCACCTCATCGTGCATCACGCTGTTTCTCCAAGCTTCTGTTTTAGCCACATACTGGTTCTCTTTTTGTCCTGTATGGTTATCATGTTCCTTGCAGGGACAGGGGCTTTCAGCTGAGGTTCCTTCTGCCTGGTGCACTCTATACAGGGTGAATTTCCACATTTCCAGAGTGGATGATCACTTAATGCCAGAGTCCTTCCTTGATCTCTTTGTTGAGGTCAAACCCCCAATAGTGGGTGTGTCCTACATCACCTTTGTAGCAGTTTTACATGCTGGACTGTGGTGTTTGGTTATGATTCTTTCCCCTGCTGATACACTAGTTCTCTGAAGGGAGGGACCTCATCTGGTTTGGGTTACGGAGGTGTTCCCAGCACCTGATACATAGTAGGGGCTCATTAATATATGTTGAATCAATCAATAAAAGCAAATAGTGAGAAATAATGAAATCCCACTCTAAGACTGGACCAAAGAAATCTTCTCAAAGGTGTTGTCCTGACAGGAACGTTGAGTAAGTTTATAAGGTAACTCACCTGTCTGCCTTTTCTCCTCCAGATGAACAGAAATTCTATTTTCTAACTTTGAATCTCTCTACTGCATTCAAAGTCATTTCTAACATGCAGCTTCTTAAATTTCTCATATTAAAACAGCTTGAAATTCTAGGTGGAAAAGAGTCTTTTTCTATGAAAGCAAATAATTTAGATGTTATTCAGTTTGATCTGCAAACCAAGAAAATACCCAGAGTCAATTAGGCTTACTCAGGGGCTAGTAGGTGGTCCTGTGTCTCTGAAGCCGTTTCTTTTTCTTTTGCTTTACAGATGTGACTGTGGAAGCCAATATGATAATACAGAATGAAAGTCATGTACTGCCAGCGGATTTAGGTGTTTTCTCGCCAAATGTTATGTTTGTTAAGACTGAGCTATCATCAAAACAAAACAAAGGAGTCGTTCAGGAAGTGAGTTCGAAATGCAATCCGGTATTACATTTCTGATAACAAGAATAAATCAGTTCCAATGAGTCTCAGTAAACAGGTTTTGACGTCCTTTGTAATTTTTAAATGACGTCCTTAACTTATTACTTATGTGTGATTTATTTGAAGGGATTACTACTCATATATTAAAGACTCCAAGTCTGAGGATCTTTAATCATCTCCCATATCATCAGTCATCAGGACAGAATGTTGAGGGAGAGCATATACTGCCTTCTAATAAACCTTCCCAAGGCCTAGAGAAGCTGCAGAGACAGCAGGTTTCAGATTTTATATGGCATTTGCTCAGTTCAGTGAGCATCTGCTGGGTACCATTTTGTAGCAAGCACTATGCCAGCCAAAGAGGGAGGAGAGCAAGAATGGTAGTCAGTGACTTGAAGTAGCTTCTTCTTAATGGTTATTCTATGGCTGGGCAGCAGGCTTGAGAAGCACTGCCTTATAGTAACAAGTATTACAGTCCCTATTGATGAGACCCTTCACTGCTTAAGGAAGGGCATTGAAACTACAGGCTTAATTAGGGCAAAAAAAAATTACAAATCCGAGTCGTAAAAGCGGTTCCCTCCGAAAATCCACATTGTGGTAATTAATGGCAATCTGTCCCATGTTTTAAAAGGTGAGAGGTGGGGCTTCCCTGGTGACGCAGTGGTTGAGAGTCCGCCTGCCGTTGCAGGGGACACGGGTTCGTGCCCCGGTCCGGGAAGATCCCACATGCCGCGGAGCGGCTGGGCCCGTGAGCCGTGGCCGCTGAGCCTGCGCTTCCGGAGCCTGTGCTCCGCAACGGGAGAGGCCACAACAGTGAGAGGCCCGCGTACCGCAAAAAAAAAAAAAAAAAAAAAAAGGCGAGAGGTGGAGAAAAGATGAATGGTTCTTCTCTGAAGACATAGGTTGTCTCTGAAAGTTAAAGGAGATTTTGTCTGTTTCTTGAAATGTCTTCTAATTTTTTGCCCATGAGCTACTTTTTATAATAGGATACTTGTTCATGAAACTGTTTCTTGATCTTTGCTTGAAAATCCCCTTTTATACCAGCAAAAATCTGCCGCAGCTGGGATCCCACGTGCTCCTATTTTAAACACCTTGTTACAAGAGATGCAGTGTGGAAGGCATTTCTTGATTCTGTACTGCCAATTCAACATTCACTTTATCTTAGGATATTTGCTGTTATCAATTGGAATGGCTCTGTCAGCTAAAGACAGTATAAGTTTTATCCTTGGACTGCTTCTTCTCTGGGTTGTGATATTCAACAAATGAATATTATAGCACAGCAATGAAAAAGGTGAGTCAGGGCTTCCCTGGTGGCTCAGTGGTTAAGAATCCCCCTGCCAATGCAGGGGACACGGGTTTGAGCCCTGGACCGGGAAGATCCCACATGCTGCGGAGCAACTAAGCCCGTGCACCGCGACTACTGAGCCTGCGCTCGAGACCCCACAAGCCACAACTAGAGAAAGCCTGCACGCAGCAATAAAGACCCAACACAGCCAAAAATAAATAAAATAAAAAAAAAGGTGAGTCAAAGGCAAGCAAAGCATTATGGTGTCTACCTGCAGAAGGAACCTCCACCTTCCTCTGGGCTGCAAGAGCCAGAATGAGCCTATTATCCATTTTTGAGTGCAGAGCCAGGCCTCAAATGTATCTCCGTTTTATTTACTCTTCTTAAACCTGAAATAAATTTTAGTTTTTAAGCTATAGCAACAACAACGACAACAAATGGTTATTCCATGGACCGCAGCTTCATAATAGTTTCACACTTCAGTCTCACCGCTGTCGCACCTCTGATGGTACAAAGTCAGCTGCCCGACACTGATGGCCTAATTCATAAGAAAGCACCCAGCACAGTCTCTGGCAGCTGGTATTAATAACAGTTGATCGTAACTGTTGAGAACTGGAATTCAATGGCAGCTTCCTCTACCAGTTTCTCCAAGATTTGTTTTAGGAAGTTTTCCACCTAGGAAATCATACTAACGTCCTTTTCTCTTATAACTAAATATCTCTAGAAATGGAAGCTTGCAGGTTCATATCTTTTTCAAGCCTCAACTCTGCTTCCAAAGAATTATGATTTGCTCTGTTGAAGGAAATCTTAAACATACAAAACTAATTGCAGACCGGATTTTGCAGTAGTCACTGAAGTCCGAAGTTTTAAATTATTTTCATGAATTACAGTGGAATGAAGGAAGGGAAATGATGTGAGGGCAGGATGGTTATTTTTGTGACTTCTTGTAAGAAAAGTGTTTTATTCTTCACAATTACTCATCCTTTGGAAGCAGGGCTAATCCTTTATCTGAGAAAGGCCACTAATCATGGTGTCTGGAAGGGCACAGAGAGGTCTCTTTTCCACTCCAGTAAGAAAAATAGTTCTCTGATTGGTCTGCCACCATGTCTGAAATTCCAACTATGATGCCTTAGTCTAAAGACAAGACTCTATTATAAAAATGCAAATACATTCTCCAGGAAAGGTAATATTTTATACCCATACAGATAATAAATTTTAAAAAAACTAACTGGTCCATTAGCTTGTCCCAGAGGAAATGGGTGCTAGAGAGGGTTCCAGTCCCTACAATATATTCAATCACAGATGGATCACCACTTGTTAGTGACATTACAGAAGTGACTCTTAACATTGATCAGGTCATTGTGATTGCATGAACACTAGTCTGTGTGCTCCCTGAGGCCGGGAGCCCCATCTCCCTCTTGGAGTCCCCAGCATGTAGCCTGTGGCCTGCTGGCACGTAGTAGGCTGTATAGTCCCCTAGCCCCCTTTTTTGAAAGACTTTTTTTTTTAAAAAGAGCAGTTTTAGGTTGACAATAAAATTGCAAAGAAGAAGGTACAGAGATTTCCCATATACTCCCAGCCTCCACGTATCCACAGCCACCTCTCTTTATCAACATCGCTCAATAGAATGGTACATTTCTTTTCTTTCCCTTTCTTTTTTACCAAGGATGAACCTACTTTGACACATCAAATTACCCATAAATCCATAAGTTTATCTTAGGGTTGACTCGATGTTTTACATTCTATAGGTTTGGACCAATGTGTAATGATGTGTATCCATCATTATATCATGCAGAGTGTTTTCACTGCCATCAGAATCCCCTGTGCTCTGCCTATTCATCCTCTACCTGCCAACAACCACTGATTTTTTTTGTTATCTCTATAGTTTTGCCTTTTCTAGAATGTCTTATAATTGGAATCAGACAATATGCAGCCTTTTCAGATGGTCTTCTTTGCTTAGTAATATGCGTTTAGCTCTTCTGTGTCTTTTCATGGTTTCATTGCTCATTTCTTTTTAGTGCTGAATAATATTCCATTGTCTGGATGTACCACTCTAGTGCTTTTTCCTCAAGTTAAAATAAAACTAGTAGATTCACTTGGCCTGTGTTATATTTTTTTCTTTTTAAATTAATTCATTGCTTCCAGTCAAACTGGTCTGTATGCATGTAGATGCAGTCTCCTATTTGCCACGCCACATTTCTATGCATCAGATAAGTTAGAAAAATTGATGTCACAGAATTAGACACAGGAAAAACTTGACAATGCTGTTATATTATTTGTCACATACTTTAAGGTAGTGTGGTATAAACAGTGTGCTGGATATGGGGTTGGTTGACATCCAAAAAAATCTTATCAGGAACCCACTCTCCACAGGTGGGCCCTTCAAATACTTCAAAAGTTATTTCTCACCTGCGTTGGGGGGATGGGTTCATTTGCCTGGGAAATGCTAGGAGGAATTTTTCACTGGGAAGTGATTAGTGTTCCAGGAATGTGATGGCTTAGAAAGTATAATAATCTAGCAAACCCAGTAGTACATCAGTTGTCAAAGAGCCCTGAAGTGAAAGATTGCCCAAGTGAAGCCAGTCTTTACTCATTGCTAGCTGGAGGCTGTCTGAAAGGGAAACTGCCCTGCTTTCCAGCAGTTAGCAGAGTTTTACAGCCTTGGGAAGGGTTACAGCCTCCCAAGTTAGGAGAAAAAGAAACAAGAAAACAGTATGTGTTGTGTGGAACTAGGCAAACGTTCATTTCTCAGCTCTCAGAAGTGGATGGTCTAAAGATAAGAAAATTTGGGAAATTACGCTTTGTGGGTTCACGTTTAGGGAGGAAACTGGGCATTTAAGGAAGCGCAGGAGAGCACATTTTTCAGTTCGAGGTTGCAAGGCTGAGATCTTGTGCCTTTTGGTGGTTCAGTGTTGTTGTTGTGGAGATTGCATATATGTGTCTTAACCCTTCACACATCCATGCAACTGTGTTCTAGGTCTGGATTTGTCTTGGTCTTGTGCCTTTCTCCCTTGCTGGCATTGTCACCTGATAAGACAAGAAGACTAGTAGATCCTGCTTTCAGAGCACTGTTGAGTTACCTGGGAGCTCCAGTTTTCATCCTAGTGACAGATTGCTCTACAAGAGAAGCAGGGACAACCCCAGGCTTAAGGAAGCAGTTAGTGGCATTGATTTTGTGTTTACTTACTTTGTTTATATGAGAAGCAGAATTATATTTGAAACTTTTTTTTCTATAGCACCACAACTGGTGGCAATATATCTGCAGCTGCAGGCATATTCCTAATCACCGAGCTTCCTTGTAGTTAAAAGAAAATCTACGTATGGATTTAAGTCCATTCAGAACCAGTATGGACAGGGAAAAGAAACTAAGGGATATTGGGCTTAACTGGGGCTGACACAGTGCTTGGGCTATTGGAGTCTTCATAATAATCCTATGAGATAAGAAGTATAACCCAATTTTGTAGGTGAGAAAATTCAGACAAAGAGGTTAAGTAATTTTCCCAGGGTCAGTAGCAGAGTTAAAATCTGAAACAAGCTCTGTTTAACATTCTCTTATTCCAAAGCCTAAGCATTTGCAGAAGCAGCACCTTCCTTCTCAGTATATGGAAGAAGGGATGTTTGTGATTCCATCTTGTAGAATAAAAGTATACCGAAGAGAAGGCATTTTAATTTAGTGTTCATTCTTACTTTTAAAATATTTGTTCTCCATCTAAATAAAAAATATGTTCTGCTCAATGCCATGAAAAATAAAGTTCAGTTAATTTTATGTTTGTTAGATTGTTGAGATTTCCAGATGTGGTTAAAAATAAAATGTGTTATTTTGCTATTTATGGTTTGAAATGTAAGCCCTTTGAGGAAACTGAATCGTTTGGGGGTTTACAAAGCTCTTGATTCTTTCTTGCTCATTTTCACTGGGTTTGAAATTGAAATTATCCAGAGCAGCAATAGCCTTGAAGTATATTCTGTATTCCATCAAGAAACCCAACATGTCCTTTCAAAACTTAATTGAGCAGCACAAAGCTAATTAGCTGTCCGAAGACACGGCATTTAATTCACAATCCAGCATTAATTTGTTCAACACAATGAGCTTATCTTCCATATAAATGCCTTGCCCTATGGCTTCTCAAGCAGCTGCAATATACAAGAATGACTGATAACTCTTTTGTTTAAATGTGATGTTGGCTTTTATTCTCTCTTCCTTCATTTGGCCAAAAGAAGGATGAATGGCATGCCGATTGTAATGGGAGAGTTTTTTGTGTGTGGCAACTTTGAAGGAAATAGATGGCTAGAATATCATAGCATATAGTCATCGGAGAACTACCAAGTCGTTAAGGAATGCAGCCATTATCGAATCCTAGTCCTGCATTTCACAGACTCCCAGGAAATGAATGCACAAATGAGTTCTGAGTGTTGTCCAAGGTCACTTAATAGGGTGTGACATGTACATATTACATAGTTTTTCTCCCCTCAGGAATAAGGCATTGCTTTACTGTAAAATAAGGGCCTAGTTTGCTGTTTATCAATTGGTAACTAAACAGATGAGCATATTGAGAAACTAAGGAGAATGGTCCAGCAATGTTCCTACCAGCATAGTAATGTCTATCAAATGCTGTTGTTTCAAACGCACCCATCCTTCAAGCCTCAGTTCAAGCCTTCCCTAGTCTCTGACCCTTCACAGATCTTACCTCCCTAATGTTTTAACCACTCACTTTGGATCTTACTTCCTAATTCCTTTAATAACTCATTTTGTGTGTGTGTGTGTGTGTGTGTGTGTGTGTGTGTGTATGCGCACGCATACATGCGTACAGAGTTTAGAAATTTCGATTTTATAATGCACGTCATTATAACAAGCTCATAGGAATGAGTTTTTGCAAAAATGTTATGTATAGCTAAGCCGTTTAGTGAACTTAGCATCTCATATCCAACAATTAGTAGAGGTAAAGTTCAGGGTTGACCCACAGGTGATTTGTGCTTGTGAACCAGTAGGGGCACACTCGGCAGAGAAGGGAACACAAGCCCGCTATGGTCCTGCCTACACAGCATTTTCACCCAGGTGGAACGTTTGCTTCTTATTGAAGTAGTAAGATAATTGAAGTCAACAATTATTTGCTGGTGGCCTAATTCAGTGGAAATTTCCAAGTCCTTATTTTACTTGCCACAAGCTGTGATTCTGTCAATAAGACTCCTATAGCTATGTCATTGAGTCCGTGTACTTCTTAGAATTCAACACGCCTCTGGGCACATAGGTTCCGAAAGACCTTGTAGAATTGAGCAGGGAGCTGATGAAATATATCAACATTCTATCAGTGTGGTCTGTTCAAAGTTCAGTGAGTAACCAAAATGCTTGTTTGCACCATGCCAGATAACTGAATTGAATATCTAGTAGAATTGAGAGCTTTGTTTTGCTTTCTGAAGGCACTGTTTAAAAATCCATTGGTGAATGTAAAATAGATAGCTAGTGGGAAGCAGCTGCATAGCACAGGGAGATCAGCTCGGTGTTCTGTGACCACCTAGAGGGGTGGGATAGGGAGGGTGGGAGGGAGGGAGATGCAAGAGGGAAGAGATTTGGGGATATATGTATACGTATAGCTGATTCACTTTGTTGTACAGAAGAAACTAACACACCATTGTAAAGCAATTATACTCCAATAAAGATGTTAAATTAAAAAAATTAAAAATCCATTGGTGATGACATTGATATTTTAATACCTCGTATCTGTTGGATTAGGTGACCTCATGCTGGAGGAACCTCCTGAATCCTAGAGGTGTTTAAATGCAAAAAGGTTGCCTATTAGCTCTCTATCTCCACTGTAGGTCAGCTGGGTGCTCCGTTGCACAAGTCATGTAGTCTCCCCCAAAACGAGGGGCCCAGAAATGCTAGGAGGCCCTGGGCCCAGGAGGCAGAGAGCTGGGTGTATTTGATTAGCAGCAGTAATGATTACTGCACTGGCACAGACTGACTATGGACTAGTCTCTCATGGACTAGTAAGGCCCTCTGTACCCCAGTCTCCTTGCCTTTGAAAGAGAAGGAACAGTATCACAACTTTGCAGGCTTAGCTTTGACACCACTGGAACACTAGCATCAGGAGAAGGCAGGGAGCTGGCAAGTCAGAGTCAGTTAAGGCCCAAACTAGGGCACTGGATCTCTTGGTAGGGTTAGTATCCAAGAAAAGTATACTGTCATCGGATAAGCAGGCAAACTGAGGCCTGATTTTGACCTCAAGTCCATTAGGATGGAGAGCAGAGTAGACAAAATATTACCACCCAAAGCTGATGCTTTTATATTCTCTTACAAAAGTCATAGTCAATACACCTAGTTATATTTCTTTACATTAAAAAAATACAGGTTGAGGGTGGGTTTTTTTTTGTTTTTTTTTTTTCCGGTACGCGGGCCTCTCACTGTTGCGGCCTCTCCCGTTGCGGAGCACAGGCTCCGGATGCGCAGGCCCAGAGGCCATGGCTCACGGGCCCAGCCGCTCCGCGGCACGTGGGATCCTCCCGGACCGGGGCACGAACCCGTGTCCCCTGCATCGGCAGGCAGACTCCCAACCACTCACTGCGCCACCAGGGAAGCCCTGAGGGTGTTTTTTAAAGGTAGATTTCAAATAGTTACTGCTATTCACAGAGATTATATTAATATTCCCAGAGTGGGGAAAATAGATTTTGAATTTAGATATTTTTGAACCCCCAAATGTGTACACCGATGAGAAATGCTAAAAGGTTGCTATGGATGTTGCTGCTTGGTTTTTCTTCATACGTCATACATTTCATGTCCCAGGACACCTCTTGAGGATAAAAACCATAGTGCATCACTTACCCTAACCAGATGTGTCACGGCCAAATTGATTATTAGGGCCATGGTGATTTAATAGTTCTACGATGTCAGAAACTGTTTTTCTTTGTGTTTGGTTGAGCCTATAATGCTAATTGCAAGTGATTTTTGGCAATTATCAAGATTATTTGATTTGGGTAGGTCATTCCTTTCATCTTGCTAAACCAAGTCCTTTTCACCCCTTAATCTCACGTTTGTCCTGATAATTGCCTCCAAATTGGATTATCCAGGTATTCCTTAGTATACATTCTAATATATACCCATAAACATAAAATGTACTATATTGATTTGAACACGGGTCTGTTGCTTTGCCAGTTCTTCCATCATATTTATAAATGTTTTGAATTCTTCCTCCAATGAGATGCTCAACTTTTCGAGCTTTAGTTGATCCATATGCCTTTGGGAATCTAAAACGTTCCTCAGTTACCACGGAAGCACAAATCATGTTGTTAAGTGTATTTCTAGTTGCAAAACCTCAGATACTCCAACAGAAAAGTAATTTACTGCAAGGGTATTGGATAACTCATAGGAATAATAGAAAAGCTGGGGAAAAGGGGTGGGAAAGGGCAGGAATTGAAGTAGATTTGGGGATCCATGTAGCAGAAACAAGTCAACGGTCTTTGCAGGGCCCCACTGCTGGAATGAGTGAGATTCAAACTTTTTTTTTTTTTTCAAACATTGTTTTTTATTCTATCAAGATTGAAAGTCCCGGAAGAGCATGTCTGATTTTTTCCAAGCTCAGGTCAGCTGCTCACACTTTGTTTGGGGCAAGAGAGGCACATTGATTTACAGCTCCACCAGGACTGCACACAATGAGGGAGAGGTGAGGCCCCTCCCCCCGCCCAAAGAAATTTGGAGAAAAGGAAGGGAACAAAAACCATAAGAGCCTATTACCGGGAGTGAGTGCTTTGAGGATAAATGATTTAATTTGACTGCATGATTGAAGTAACAGGATTGAAGCGCCTTCCTTTGCTATGCAGACTGCACTGGGGAAAATTAGTGGGCTCTGGCCCAAACCTGGTATTTAGCCAGATTTGATTTTGCAATTAGTGAAATCTTCTATCGGTTTGTGATTTGACTTTGCTGCCACATTTCTGATAAATTTATATTAGTGACGGTAATATCTAGAAAGCTAAAAATTCCTCGGTTATAAATGAACACTTTTCATTAATATTTAGAGATTAAACTCATTTCTTATGAGCAGATGGAAACAAATGATAACTTGGCCTTTACTGTACAAAATTAAACAATTTATCAACATTTAGGCAAACTGGAGGCGAGTTTTAAGTGCTAGAATTTGTTGATTAACATTGTTTTCTTTGGCTAATTGACTTTTAGACAACAGAGGTCCATTTAAATGACTGTTTTCTGAAGGATGTGGCTGCATCAGGGTCTCCATTGTTTCCTGGAAACCGCAGCTGTGTTGGTCCCGAGATTAATGGGCAGAGAGAAAATTTTCCAGCAAAGGCCCTGGTGGCTGATTTCGGGAGGTCCTCGTTGTGACAGAGAACTTTAGATTTAAGGCTGATTGTCATAAGCTCTTGGATCTGCGTATGGGCTGCTGCTTCCCATACACACAATATGGTAGCATTGTTATATTCTGTATGATTTTTGATTGTGCCAATCATCCTTTCTCTATAGTCTGATTTTTTTTTTTTTTTTGCATGTTTATTTGATCAACAGAAATCGATTTCCATTGTCGGGAAAGATCCTTTGCAGGAAACAGGGCCAGCTTCATGGGCCGGCCACCTGTGCAATCACATGAGGCCCTGGGCTCAGAAGGGTGTCACACTCGGATGTTCTTTATGTTTTTTAACTCTTTGTTAAAAACTTCTGACTCTGTCCACCCATTCTCCTCCCGAGTTCTTTGATCCTCTTTACCATCATTACCCTGAACACTTTCTCACGTAGACTGCCTGTCTCCACTTCACTTAGTTCTTCTTCTGGGGTTTTATCTTGTTCCTTTGTCTGGAACGTATTCCTCTGCCGCTTCATTTTGTCAAAGGTGGTTTGTATTTTTATGTATGTGGTAGGTTAGTTACGTTTCTCGACCTTGGAGAAGTGGCCCTCTGTAGGAGATGTCCTATGCGTCCCAGCAGTACACTCCTCTCTGGTCACCTAAGCTAAATGGTCTAGGGGTTCCCCGTGAGAGGGCTGCATGCACCCTTCTGTTGTGGTGGGCTGACTCTGTGTGTGGTCTGGTAGGCTCGGTTGGCCCCTAGCCTGGTGGGTTGCCAGGCTCTGTCTTGGGCGGATGCTGCCGGCTGCTGTTTAGTGAGACCTGGTCAAGAGTTGGCTGGTTGCAGAATCCTAGGGGACCCCAGGGTTAACGCTGGCTCACCGGTGGGCAGAGTCAGGGTCCCAAAGACTCTGGGGCTGTGGCCCACCCACTGGGAGGTGAAGCCAGATCCTGGGGCTGGTGCCAGACTACTGGCAGGCAGAGCTGGTTCCTGGAGCCAGACTGCAGGGTCAGGGATCCCAGAGCTCTTTCAGATCATTGTTGGTGGGGGCAGGGGGAGGGCCGGCTCCTGACACAGTCAGGTATGGCGGTCGGCACTGGCCTGCTAGTGGGCAGGGCTGTGGCCCAGCTGGTCGCAGGGCAGGGTCTGGCCAGCATTGCGGGATTAGCAACATAGTTTCCTTGCTCCTGGCGTCGGCCTTCCGTTAAGAGGTCTAGAGGCGGGTCGAGAGCCGTGCGCAGACTTCCTGGTGGGAAGGGTGGGTGCCGCCTATTGGTGGGTGGAGCTAGGTCCTGGCCCTCTGGTAGGCTGGCTGTGTCTAGGGGCGTGCCTAGGGGGCGTGTCCTGGGGGGCTCCGGGCTCTTTAGTCTTTAGGCAGCCTATCTGCTGATGGGTGCTGCTGTGTCCCCACCCAGTTGGTTGTTCGGCGTGAGGCATCCAGGGCCAGCACCTGCGCCTGGAGGCTGTTGGGTGGGGTCAGGTTTGGGTGCTAAAGGGCCAAGATATCAGCCACCAGGCGTGTTGGCGCGGCTGAATATTCCCCAATATGGCTGCCGCTGGCCGTCTGTCTTCTCCCTCGCCCCACCCTGAGGTGAGGCACAGCTGCAGCCACACCGTCCAAGACCAGCAGGTAGGTCTGGCCCAGGCTCCTATCAAATTACTGTTGGTTCCCTGGGTCCCGGGTCCTGTGAGGTTTATGTGTGTGCCTTTTTTTTTTTTTTATAAATTTATTTATTTAGGCTGCGTTGGCTCTTCGTTGCGGTACGCGGGCTTTCTGTGGTGGCGGTGCGCGGGCTTCTCATTGCAGTGGCTTCTCTTGTTGCAGAGCACGGGCTCTAGGCGCGCGGCCTTCAGTAGTTGTGGCTCGCGGGCTCGAGAGCGCAGGCTTAAGTAGTCGTGGCGCACGGCCTTAATTGCTCCGCGGCATCTTCCCGGACGAACCCGTGTCCCCTGCATTGGCAGGCGGATTCTAAAGCACCGCGCCACCAGGGAAGCCCTTGTGTGTGCCTTTAAGAGTGAAGCCGAAGCGTCTATTCCCCGTCCTGTCAGGCTCCGGCAGTTAGGCCGCGCCGGCCTTCAAAGCCGCATGCTCTGGGGGCTCCTCCTCCAGTGCCGGACCCCTGGGCTGGGGAGCCTGACGTGGGGCTCAGAGCTCTCACCCCTGTGGGTTCTGCTTTTAGGTGTCCTCCTTTTCAGAGAGGAGAGTTCAGAGGCTTCTCTTGCGGCCGTCGCTGAGGTGGGTCTCTTGAGTTTCTCTGGATTTCTAGAATTCTCAGCCTTTGTGTGGAAATCCCCATGCCTCTTTATTCCCAGTAAGATAAGGTTTCATGGTTATGGGTTTGGTTTCTGGGGTGGTTGTTTAGGAAACAAGGAAGTTACAGGAAAAAGCAAAGGTTAAAACAAAAAAAGTGTAAGAAAACAAAATGGTGGCCTGTCCAAACATTGACGCAATCATCTCCGTAGGTTGATTTTAAACCCAGCTGCAGACTCGGCCGGCTGGCACAGTGTTTATAGGATGTGCAGGCCCTGATCCTTTTCATCACAGGGGAGTCAGGCCAAGCTTCTTAGAGTCCCAGGCGCAGATGTAATGATATCAGGAGGGCCTGTGGTTAACGCTCCTGAGGCAGGTGGACTTACTTGCCATTACACCCAGCTCCTAAGTAAAGCAACCTGCCTAGGTTTATTTTCTTGTCTGGGAAATGGGCTTTTAGGAAACCATGTGAGCTGATGCAAGTAGCATGAGAAACACAGTGTCGTGTGTGTAGTAACGTCTTAATAATGGTGGCAGCCTTATGGTTCATTTCCTTGTGTTGGCTCTTTCCGTCCTTTTCTTATGGAAAGAATCACATTTGCTCCTTTAGCCTTAGACCCCTAGACTCTGCTCCCTGGGAAGTCCCTGAGGCTCCAGGAGATGGGAAAGCAACTGCTTTTCCTGTCCTTTCTTTGCTCTTCTCTTGGCTTTCTTCGACCTCAGTGTCCCATCCCTGGCTGTCAAGAATCTTATGAAGTTTGTCATAAAGTCTTCTGGTGTCCCTGGTCAGGGTCTGGTATACTCAAGTGAAGGAACTGAGGAGAGTGTAAGGAAGGCATGTTTTGTAAAAGTGCAAGCAGCTTTAAGAGGTGCTAGCAAGGGGTAGTGAAGCCATGCTGGGCTAGCACAGGGGGGAGCTGACACTAACCCTCAGGGGGCGTGAGGCAAGGGGTGGGAGCAGCTCCCAGGACAACAGCTGCCCTACAAATGCCAGGACCCTAAAGCCTAGGGTCCTAGGATAAATACCTGGAACTCACCCTCCTGTCCTCCAGTCTCCTGTCACTGCCTCCCAACAGGAAGCTGGAAGGTAAGAGGGGACGTTGAGTCAGTCCATCAAAAGTCAGACTCCAGGGCAATGAATGAACAGACCGCAGAGGATGGAGGCTAGATCAACGGAGGCATGTGTGAAACATCCTATACTTGGGAACAGCTCTCCTCTCCCTTATTTATTTACTTATTTATTTATTTGAAATATATATGATGTATAACATTGTGTATATTAAGGCATAAAACATGTTGATTTGATACATTTATCTGCTGTGTTCTGATTGCCTTTGTACCATTAGCCTCTCTACCATGCCACATAATGGTGATTTTTTGTGTGTGTGTGGTAAGAATAATTAAGATCTGGTCCCTTAGCAAATTTGATGATGGGAATACAATATTGTTTTTGTCTCTATTCACTATACTGTGCTTTAGATCTCCAGGATATACTTTTTTTTTTAAAACATAAAATACGAGAGGCAGAAAATGAAGTAGCAGAATTTTAATTTTAACTGCATTCAGTTCTATATTTTTCATTTATGCCATTTTTAAACTATAGTTCAGAAGTTAATTTTTTATTAAGATACTTTGTGTGTGTGTCTGTGTGTGTAGCCAATTTCATGTTACTTGGATTAAAAAATAAGAACAAGAGAAAACCAAACCATCATGACAACTTCTCATGAGGTGCATTTTTTTCTACACATACTTCTCTACTGAGTTGATTCTAACTGCTTCTTGTTTTTTGGGGAGATCCTTCTTGTTTGGGGAAACTTTAAACCTCGAAAAAACACCCCTTCCCCACTTCCCAAGTACAGGCTTGTACCACTCCCTGTGGAATCCCTGATATCCATTAAGATCTTCCTGGGACTGGCTTCCTGTTGGCTCCCGGACTTGCTTCTCTGACGTGACTTTCCCATGTCTCCCCTGAAGGCTCCCAGAGACCCAGCCCTACAAGGGCTGATGTCTGTCTCTGACCAAAGTCTAGAGGTTCAATCAGGATCAAGCATGTCATCAACATTAAAGGATTCTCTTCTCTAATAAAGCTCCACTTCAAGGCCTGTGCTTTCAGGCTGGTGTGTGGAACTGGTATCTGTGATGGTCAGGTTGTCAGTGCTTCCTTGTAGTTAATGTCTGTTTTGGCCTTCATCTTAGTTTAAATATCACTTCCTCAGAAGAGTCTTCCTTAGTCCCCCAAACTGAGCTTAAAGCCTTTGTATTCTCTCACAACCTCCCATATTTCCCTGTGTTTACTCTATTTGTAGTTACACTTTTTAGATTCGTCTTTTTATATTCTGAGTCTGTGAGGGCAGTGTTTGTGTCTGTTCACCACTGGACCCCTGCTATCTTGAAGTACCCCTGTAATTTAACAAATAATTGTGCGTGCTTGCCTGATTTTTGCCTTCTGGGTTCTATTTGAATCCTATCAGTGGCTTCCGCTGGCCATGAGCAGAATCTTTGTTTTTGCCTCTATCAAAGTTTGTTTCTCTGGCTAGACCTCCCTGCTCAGTTTCTGTTTCTGGTTCTTCAGCTCATACACGGAAC